TTTAACGCTCTATACTACCACATTGGAATCAAAAGCCTGTCCGCATTGTGATGTCTTCTTTAGGTAGAGTAATTTTTCCTCATTTTAAAGTGTGCCAGTCATATTGTTCAAAGTCTTTGAGCATACTCTTCGTTGCTAAAATTATGTACCTATTCGCAGTGTTTAAAAAAACATAGAAACCGTTTAAGCACTCAGTGCCTTTGGCGATTTTTTCTTATGAAGACAACCATCCAAGAATTAATATGCATCAATCATCTCGGTAATCCTCAAAGACGATTTAAAATTTGATATTTGCTGTCGAGCCCTTGAAAAATATTACGCGTGGTTTGTCTAAACTCCTGAGTTTGGGCATGTTTAGGCGCAAAACTTTCATCTTTTTCAACTCTTTAAGGCCAAAAATTTCAAGAGCAAGAGACGTGACATCAAATCAATCGTCTTTTTCGATACCCAGGGGAAAAAAGTTCTTTTCAGTGCCTCGGTAGGTTATTTCATCTCTATTTCAGAAATGGTGATTTTTGAGGGGTGTTCTTGACGCTAAAAAGGTATGAGAATGAGACTTTTATCATAATGATGGTATCGTGGTCTATTCCCTCTCTCAAACACATAAAAGTTACCTCATTTGATCGATTTTGCTATTGCACCTCCGTCGCGTCATCTCTGGGAGGAGATGTTTATCATTTGAACTCAGTGTCAAGGCGCAGGAAGTAACGAATATGAATGACGTCATCATTTCAGCTATTTCTATCCGCGCACCTAACGTGCAATTTCCTTGGACGATCATTGCCGATATCATGGATGAAAAGCCACATAAAAGTGATTGAATCCGATTAACTGAATCTCATATGCGAAATCGATGGAACACACAATGATCAATAACTTGATTGTTATATTTTACGATGTTTTCAGTTCACACAGCCTTCGGATGAAATTGCAGGCTGAGACTTGAGACGAATTTTTGCGATCGGAAATAATGCACTATCAGCATTGGCAATTATTAAGCGGCGTTGATGTTCGGCAAAAACTGCATAACCAAACAGAGTTGGTAATGGAACGAAATGGTAATTAAATAGGAAAATCGATAATTTGGCTCGGAATAGATCTGGGAAAGAGCAATCTGCCATTCTCACTTGTGGTTGAATTATTTCTGCATTTTGCCTCCATTGTGTCAATAAAAAACATCAATCCCATATTTTTTAACGTAAGAAATTCTAAGCTCTAAAACTGCATGAAAGATTGAAATAACAATATAATTTCGGTTTAAAAAGCATAGAAATTTGATGAAGTTTGTTGTCAGTAGTTTCATTAATCACGCTTCATAATTGTTAGAAGACAATGGTTTCTAATAAAACAACTGAAAAAAGTTGAACGCGCGATGGAGGGAAAAAAATTCACAACCTTCGAACGTGATTTAAAATTGTATATCATCAATTTTTCACATTTAGACTCGAATACAGGTAGCCAATATCACGCTCCAGACAGAATGGTGTACAGTGGCCACTTAAGGTGGCTTGAATGAATCACAGAGAGGTCAAAAGTGGTCAGAAACCAGTTTAAAGCTGTGATCAATTTTGGAGAACCTCGCAGGCAATAGATTGGCAATTATATGATTAAAGTGGCCAAAGAGAGGGAGGAAAGAAGAATCAGGCTTTTACTGTCATCTCTCTACAGACTTCATACGCTATACATATCTTTCATGCGTGTGGCGGCTGTGAAAAAAGAGAAGAAATGACTTATATAGTATCATCGATATATGGTTAAATTTTAGGATGAATTTGCAGGGTTAATTTGATTTTTTTCAACTTATACGGTCATACTAAAGAAAATCACAGTATGAGCATTCATATGTTGTTAATTTCTCTCCAATAAATATTGAATTTTGAAAAAAATATGGTTTATTTTTCCTTGAAAGTTTGAGAACTCTCAGATTATATGTGAATGAAACATATTTACGAGTTTTTTAGTCAATTTGAGTTTTATCAAACGAAATTTGACAACATATTAGAGCTCATTCGATGTTTCCCCAAAGCACGTCGGTATAAGTCATAATTGGACGTATTTAAATCAAAAGGAAGTATCTCCATTCTGACAGAGGCCTTTATGATGTACGTGATCTTATGGACCTCAGGGCTCATGACACAATGTACCTTGTTTCTTTTGATTAAATGCGTCCCATGATGTGGGATAACAACGCAGCTGATGTGCATTTGAAAAAGATTACCACATAAATTTTTAAGTTTTCTTCATTATTCATCATTACAGGAGTTAATCGGCAAATTTCTTCCTTCAGAGATTTCCTTATAACGCTGACCATACTTGATTTTAGTCGGGTTTGTTCTTGCTACTTGGAAAATTCCTAGTCAATTTTCATCCACAAAATCTTTTTAACCCTTCAAAAGAGGCGACTACAAGTTCCTTCTCCTATTTGAGCGAGGTACACACGTAAAGCCTCATCTGAGCTGGTTAAAAATGTTAATAACTCGAGTTTTCCAAAAAAAATTAAATACGATTTAGTTGAAATTTGAATCTAGTGTTTATAATGTAAGCTGCTGGCTGATTATCGAGATTAATATACAAAACGATAGACAAAGGAGACACAAGGAAAATAGAACGATCCTAATGGTCGAAATATTAGTGCCTGTAATGGACAAAGGACGTATAAGTAATAGACTAACAAGCGGTAACCCACGAGCGACCCTATGGTTATAGTCCATCGTTTTCTCTCTTTAGTCTATGGGCGCCACCCGTTTCAACCATTTTCCCTTCATCTTCTTTATCTATAGCTTTGTCTATCTATTTCAATAATCAGGCCGCGGATCGTCTATACAATTCTTACCCTGTCTGTCCAGTCCATATCGCAAACGTCCATGCACTATCAGACAGCGGTTCAAGACGCCTAAATACTAAATCGTGCGTGTGTTTATCCCGGATGGGTTGACAATTAAGTACAGGGTGATCCACAAGTCCTGCACCACCCCTATAACCCTCTAGGGCTCTTGCCCCTTTCCAGAGGGGTCCCTTTAAAGTGTTAGGGGTACCAAAAAGTCGTTTCCTTCGACCTAGGAGCACTCACAAAATTTCAAGTCAATATCTTAATTTTTTCGAAAGTTACAGAGGTGATGCCTGATGGTGGTTGTGCAGGATTTTGGATCACCCTGTATTCATCGCACCTAAATCGGTTACTTGATATTTTAAGCTTTGTCTTAATACGCGCTGTTTATCTTTGAAAATGGCTCGATTAACTATCGATCGCGGTCATCAGTGTTGATAGACAATGAGATACGCGAAGACTTCAACGCGTGGTTAGAAAAAACAACTCGCACGTTCCTGAACATCATACAAAAAAGTTGTAACTCTCTGTTGAAAAGTAAAAACTTTAGGAGTTTTAACGTATGTTTATGTTATTTACTACGACTTACGAAAATGATAACGAGTTTTATTGACTGCAAATGCGAAACATAGATTACTTTCTCTGGGCGTGCATATTGTAAGAAACGTTGGAAGAAAAAAAGAGAGAAAAAAAAACGATTTCGTGACATCTGCCTTGAATGTGTCAGAGGTAAGTTTGTGCTCCAAATTATCCATAACATGGCATCATTTGGAGACAATTTGTTATATTATCATTCAAAAGTGCATATTATAAATCATCTGTATTTTTTTAGTATATAGGAAAACTGGGGAGCGCGGTGTAAGGAACGGCGTTTTTCAATCGGTAATGCAAAGTTTGGAGCTCAGATTCGTACCGCGTATCTTTTCAATTATTTTCTCCTTTAAGATTCACAAAATTCAGCAAATTAGATCTCTTTAAACTCAAACTTCCACCAGGAGGTAACTAATGAGAGATGCCAAAGTTACTAAAGGCAAGTACCAAAATAACAGGGTCGTGCTAAAATTATGCGCCGTAAAAACCCTCAAATTTTGAAATACGCCCGCTGATAAAATGATGCAATCCCTCGCCAACTTGCACACGTTTTTTTTTTAAATTAAAAGTATATTTCATTCGTCATGTGAATGGCCAAAGTGCGAGACCACGTATCCCTGTTTGCAACGTTGTAGACTTGCTTTCGTGCTTTTTAGTTTCTTTGGAAAGATATTCAACGTAATTTCTTGAAAAATTCCTTGATTTTCCTTCTCTGTTAGCAGAAAATTCTATAAAAATTTTAAGCTATGAAGTGGGCTCGTTCTCTCTCTTAAGTGAATAAAATAGGAGCGCGGATATTTTGAAACACCGCGATAAAGTAACGCGGTTTCGCACTTCGATCATGGGCGTGTAATCTACAAGATCTCTGAAAATTTGAAACAGGAGCTCTGAAAAAAAATCTCGATGTATTTACGAAGAAAGGGGTAAAATTACCAAGAATTCAGGGTTCTATTTGATCCCAGTTTTTTCTTGGTAAAATTACCATTTATGGTATTTATTTATGGAATTGGTAATTTTACCGAGAAATCTCGGTAAAATGATTGAACTTTCTCGGTAATTTTACTGGACCTTGGTAAAAACGCCAATATTTTTCATCGACTGTGGTAGAATTACCGAGATAAAATGGCAAAGTTACCGGGAATTGATTACCAATAAAAGTGGTATTCTTACCTGAAAAAAACAGTAATAATACTGGTTTTTAGGTAAGCCTACCATTCGGTCTTGGTAGAATCACCAATGATTGGTAAAAAAAGTGAGATGGTAAAGGTATCAGCGGACCTTGGTAAAAACGCCGAGAATTTTTTTTCAGTGAGGTTCATCCACAAAATTTGTAACATGCTAGACGACATTTAGCACCAGCTGATTGCTCTACAGTGTTTCTCTTTGGTCAACACAAATGCACAAACAAAAAGCCACGGTAAATAGACGTGGAAAATGAGGAAGCGTCTTTGTTTGAGGCGCAACGAAGAAACAAGCAAAGGATTTGATTTCCGGTAGCGCGAATTTTCAAGAGCATCGACAGGCATGTAAATTTATTCAAATTCGACATTATTTAAAAGTATGATGCGGAGAGGAGACTCACCTGCTCAATTCAACGTAATCCATGAAACATTATTCCAAAACGCACATCGCGACCGGACCACGCACCACGCACCCGCGAAATCGAAGCGCGCACGAACGAGTGAAAACCCTCTACTGAGAAAAAGTAACGTTGAAAAAGGAAACAATGCTGGTGCGGGCGAACATATCTGTTGAAAAAAGTATGTTGGGAATGTTAATTAGTGCCGCAATGAGAGGACGCCTCGCGGTGAGTATACGGATTCAGAGTAGTGATGCAAAAATGTGCTCTCGGATAAAAAAGAGCGCGTCATCAATGTAGTAAATATTTGTGTGCATATTATGATGTGTAACTGAGTGAGTATGATGCCCGGATGGATTTGAGCGAATCCTCGTCCGACGCTCGGCCGGGTGGTTGATAAAATAAGTACGGCGCACGGGTTAATTGTTCGGCTAAGTCGAGAGCCCGCGCTCGGTCAGAGAGACAAGGATAGCGAGAGACGTGTTAACAAGTCGACATCGACAATGAACTTGGTCGCCACGCATCTCCATAAAATCCCGAGATCCATTCCGGGGTCCTTCTTGGCGTGGCGCGAGACGCGCGCCTCGCGCCTTAACCTCAGGCCAATTCCGCTCGAATCTGTGTCCGCCTCCCTCGCCCCCGGTTCCTTCCTCCGCGGCAACGGCAACGAAAACGGGTCCTGTCGTGCGGGTGGCGTGCGCTCACGTTAGAACAGTGACGTCGTTTCACCAAAACTTGGGAGGAGGGGAGTGACCTGACGTGACCCCTAACATTATACCTAAGTTTTTAGAGTCCCTTCATACTGAGAGTCAAGACAACACCCCCTCGTGGAGTCACAAACGGGAATAAAGATTACAGAAATTGAACGTTTATCGTAATCTTTGATCGGCCCATTCTCAAATTCCTTTCTCCGTTTCTTCTCTCATCATGCATTCATGACTGCAAAAATGTCAAAGGAAATCGACAAGCCCAGCGTGTATGAAGGATATTTCAATTGTGATCTTCCGTAGCATTTCTAAGGCGCAATGATACAACTATTTGAACTCTCCGGAATGCGTGAGGTATCACGCCGTATTTTAAGGCGTTTTCAAAACAGCCAAGTTCCGATACCCGGATAATCGTTTTGCATACTTCATATTCTTTTGTTATATTCCGTACCACTTGTTTATTTTTAATCCTCGTATAAAAACCACCCATTTGCTAAATACAATTCTAGCTGGAGCGCACTTCAGCTATGCATTCACGACTGAGAAAAATTCGAAGGAAATCGACAAGCCAAGCGTGCATGGAGGCTATTTCCATTTTAATCTTCCGTCACATTCTTACGGCGCAATGATACAACTATTTGAACTCTCCGGAATGCATAAGGTATCACGCCACATTTGAAGGCGTTTTCAAAACAGCAAGCTCCGATACCCGGATAATCGTTTTGCATACTTCATATTCTTTTGTTATATTCCGTACCACTTGTTTATTTTTAATCCTCGTATAAAAACCACCCATTTGCTAAATACAATTCTAGCTGGAGCGCACTTCAGCTATGAATTCACGACTGCAAAATTGTCAAAGGAAATCGACAAGGCAAGCGTGTATGAAGGCTATTTCAATTGAGGACACCGCACCAAGAACAGCCTATAACTGGAAACCGCGTTTTGAGAAAAACGTACTTAAATGTTTGTTTTTGATGTATTGCGCAGACTTTTTCTATGCAGGTACCCTGTTTTGGTGTATTTGGGTGACCTAACCCTTGTATTGAAGGATGCCGCGTAGATTTTGCGATACATTTTGGGTTTACACTCTAATATATTTAATTTAAAAAAACGGTTTATAGGCCATTATTACGCCCAACAGTCATTTTGGTGGCAATATGAGGTATAAATCATTTTAATCCCGCATGATTAACGCAAAATGAAAGAATATCGATAGTGAGTATAGAAAGGGGTAACTAGCACCTTAGGTCCTTAAGTTTATAGGCCAGTTTATAGGTCGTTCTTGCACCCATCGATCCAGAGGCCTGACTTAACTCGGAAAAAAAAAGGTTTTTCGACCTCGAGCCGTTACCTATCTATATTCTATCGCTACCACAGCATAGTCCAGGGTAAGTAGAATCCGAAAAGCGGATGGGCGTAATAACGACCTATACGCCTATAGGCTGTTCTTGGTGCGGTGTCCTCAATTTCCCCCTCCCCCACAGGCTGAGGAGACAAAAAGGATATGAAGGGATCTTTTGGCGAAAGCAGTAGTTGCAATACAACCTACAACTAGACAACTAATACAACTAGACTCTGTTTGGAAGAAAGGAACCAAGCCACATCAGCTATTGCCAAGTTCAACCCCGGTAAAAATTGGCAAAAGAATCTGTGTTCCAAAATACCATAGACCTACAGCCGGCTGTAAGATTCCCAATAGCTTCCATAGACGGCAACACAATTTCTTATAGCCTTTTATAGCCGATGGCGATTCAGCAACGGCCTGGCGATAAAGAGTATGCTAAACGTTACTAATTACGGATGATAGGACTTAGTGAGTTTTTGGATTACCGCTCTCTGTTTGGGCCGTAGTACATTGATTTACTTTGCGAGGAAAGCTCCGTACTTTTGAAGGATGCCGATGCCTGCCATTCTTTATATGTTGGAGCGCCTTCAATTTCGTATGATACTGTGCAATACCTCTGGTGTGAAATAGTTGCTTCAAGCGCCGTGGCACGCTGCGGCGCGGCGCGGCGGGCGGGCAGCCAGCGCGAAACGCGCATTGGCGCCTACAAACCTAACACGGATACTTCACGCATTGCGCAATGCGTGAAGTATCCCTGTTTTAGGTTTGTAGGCGCCAGTGCGCCGCCGCTCCGCTTTGTGTTAGGCTCTAATATTTAATCTCGTGGAGTCAGCGTTTTTCAACTCATGACTTTGAAATGTTTGCACACTCCGTATGGATCATTCTCATTTTAATTGATGAAAAAAAATATGTAGTAAAGGAAAATATATTGTGCGTATAAATATATTGTGCGAAAATATATTATACAAACTTAAGGATTTACAAAGCACACGAATTCCTACACAATTTCTCATAACCTTTTATAGCCATTGGCGAAAAAGCAACAGCTATGCGATAAAGTGTAAAGCCCGGCGATAGGAACTATAGCCCAGCTCTATAATTTTTTATCGCTTCGTGTAGCCCGGCCGTATGATTTTTTCCACTTCCTACAGCCAGCTATATGATTTTCTATCGCCTTCTTCAGTCGGCTATAAGACTTCCTATGGTATTTTGAAACGCAGCTCCTATCGTCAATTTTTACCAGGGAATTGCGTACTTTAATTTTTTACATGAATGCGGCTGCGCGGATTTTTGGACAAATTTCAGTGAATTTTCTGAATAGTACGTAGCAAGTTCCTTAAAATTCTCAAAGGAATCCGCACAAACGTCCTCTTTTAGAAAATTAAATCGCCCAGTCAAATGGCAATAGCTAATGTAGCTTGGTTCCTTTCTGCTAAACGCGGTCCAAATAACGGCAACCCACGAGAGACCCTATAGTTAGTCCATCACTTACCCTCTTAGTCTATAGGTAAGAACCAACCACTTCAACAGATAGGATCGCTCCATACTGTCTATGTCTTCTTTGTCTATAGCTTTGTCTATCAACTTCAACAATCAACCTGCTACCCCCAACCAAATGACGCCACTGTGCTGGAGTACCTGGATAAGGAGAGTGTGGAATGGGCCAATGGCGTAGATAGGAAATCTTTAAGGGGAGGGGGGAATCCATTTAAATTATTTTGTGTACGTCCCTGATAATATTGTATGTCTGCCGCTCCAAAAGTAAAAAAAAAAAAAGGTACACTTAACGAGGCTAAGGAGGGGGGGGGTCGGCGATTCTTAACAGTTGGCAAAACTGTTTTTTCTCCATTTAAATGTATGTAAAACAATCGATTTTTTTTCAATCGAATTTTCTATGGATATTTCAATGGAGTAAAAACGGTGTTGCAACTTACAAAATCGCCACCGATTGAAAATACTCTAGCCCGTACCGCGCCAACTTGGCTTCGTGAATAAATTGATCTCTCCAAATTAAATGCAAGAGTAGACTTTAGAAATTATTCCATTTTCACCTTGTCGCGGATGTTCTGGTGGACGGATCCTCAAGGGTAAAACTAACAACAGTTCAAATTGCAACGGTTCAAAAATCCATTCGCCTGAGGAAGAAGCAAGGCTCTTCGCGCGTCGAGGGGATCCGTGAGTCGGTGGATCGATGAGCTGTTACAATGTTACATTATTCCCATTGATCCTATTTTTATGGGCTATTCTTCTCTTAATTCTTTATTATCCCCTTCAATGCTGCGCTGAGATGAGCCACCGACCCCAGGTAGTATATTTATTTTTGAGGAAGGTTTCTTCCTCTCACGTAGGTCATACCGTCATCTCCCGGACAAAAGAACATAACTACATTTGGACCGCGTTTAACAGAAAGGAACCAAGCCACATCAGCTGTAGCCAAATTTAACTGGGCACGTCAATTTTTTACGAGAGAAATTTTGTGAGGATTCCTTTGAAAAGTTTGAAGAATTTGCGTCGTACTGTGGAGAAAATTCACTGAAATTTACACGAAAATCTGGCCAACCGTTTTCATGTAAAAGAGTAATTCGTCCAATTAAATTTGGCAATAGTAGCTGATATGGCTTGGTTCCTTTCTGTTTAACGCGGTCCATTTCAACTGCGCGACACGTTCACTAACAAATGGTATATTTTTATAGGGAATGGGCGTTCCTATAGTGTAAAATGTCGCTGATTTTACGCAAAAATCAGACAAATATTTGACACAAATTTCTCAGTCGTGCTCCTGTCAAAAATTTAATCTATTGGGTCAATTTTGCAACATTGGAATGGTGTTACATTCCATCGTCTAGAAAACAACGCTATTTTCGCTTCTCTGGGCGTAAGAGCGTATATATTTCCGCTTTTGAGTCGGAGAACACGTACCTATCGATATGTGAGGCAGAACCATAGGCGTAGCTAGGTCATTTTGCTGGGGGAGGGGCCGGCCCCCCACCTCCGGGGGGCCTCCCCCGGAAAATTTTTGAAATTTTAACTCTATTTGAGCGCATCTCGAGGCACTTGTGGCGCTAATCCTCCTTCAATTTCTGCCTAAAAATCACCCAGTTTTATGCATTTTAAGGTTAAAATACTTTGAAATTGTTGCATGCAACAGGTTACCTATTCTATTTAAAGGCATCCTCTCTTGGGCCACGACGACAGAGACTTACCGTTGATGAAGGTGTTTTTGCACCATCCAGAATTTCTGGGGGGGGGGCAGATGATACTATTTTCAATTCCGGGGAGGCCCCCCTGGCCCCCCTTCCTACGCCTCTCGTTAGAACTCACTTCAAATCCATAAAAAGAAACCATTTCTTGCGCCTGTGAGATCCAGAGATCCGCTAGGCCGCTTCTCACAAAAGTTATTTTCCGAGTTTAGCAATGCGCCTAAAGATTCGCCCAATTCGATCAAATTGGA